AATTACAGACGAATAATTTACAAACTAAGTCGTATAAACAAGGTTCATGAGCCTGAAAATAGTTTTGGAATCTGTGACATTTAATACATTTGTAATGAGTTTTCTAATAATGTCTTAATCACTGAAAACAATTTTGAGAATGCTCTTCCAACTTTCATTGGATCACGTCCATCTCCTTCCAATTTAGACTCCACCTAAATTATTTCACGTGTATGAAATAATATCCGATAAACAAAACATTCTCTGGAATTTTAAGCATTTGGGTGAAAAGCATACATCATTAATATGAAATATTTAAAGCCAAACTCTAAGCTGATCCCTTTTGACCATCTGCTATTGCACATGAAGGAGTTCATGCATTTTCAAGGTATTTGGATATCTTTGGCTTCAAGATGTTTTGTTGCTAACTGGCTGTCTGTAAATCATTCAATTGGTAGGAGCCTCATGTGTTGATTTTAGTTCAGCATAAACACCAAAGTAGACAATGTAATCTCAGATCAGGCCTACTGGTTCTATTATTTTGTCTCTGACTTCAGCACCCCTCCTCCCCTCCCAAATGGAGACAAGTGGCTATATCTAAACATCACTTGTCACAATGGAGACAAGTGGCTAGATATAAACACCACTTGACACAATGGAGACAAGTGGCTAGATATAAACACCACTTGTCACAATGGAGACAAGTGGCTAGATATAAACATCACTTGTCACAATGGAGACAAGTGGCTAGATATAAACACCACTTGTCACAATGGAGACAGGTGGCTAGATATAAACACCACTTGACACAATGGAGACAGGTCAAGTGGTGTTTATATCTAGCCGTGTCAAGTGGTGTTTATATCTAGCCACTTGTCTCCATTGTGTAAGTGGTGTTTATATCTAGCCACTTGTCTCCATTTTTATATCTAGCCACTTGTCTCCATTGTGTCTAAAACTTTTATTAAATTTCCTTGCCTAATGTTCAATTTTTATTCAATTCCTAATTATTAAGAATTCCAAAATTATATAATACAGTTAGAGGAGGACTAGGACCTTTAACTATTGTTCCCTAATTTATTAAATTGATACCTTCATTTCCTTGATAGGTTTACCACACACACACACACGTACGTACATACAAGTATATGCTGCTTCTGCATTTTGAATGACATGAATTGTGTACTATATAAAGTGTGTGCATGAATGGGTAAATGCGTCAGGTTCTCGTTTGTAGGAGACATCCTTAATAGTTTGTTATCTTGACAGGAGTCGCATCCAAATAGTGCGTAAGAAGTGTTTGTTACAGTTTCCTAGTGCCAAGTTTAAATGTTAGTTTTTCAGTTCAGTATGTTATGTAAACAGAATATTGGTTCTTATTCTAAAGAGTCAAGTTACTGATTTTTATTTTGCCTCTTGAGTAACCATCATTTGCATTGGATAGTATTCATAATATATGAATGCATTAAATTTAGATTGTTTGAGTACTTTTCATAAAAGTTTTTGAAGTATGCATTCACAAAAAATATTTGTGTGTGTGTGTGCAGATTTAAAACTTATATTGTGTGCACACACACACACACATATTAGTTAATGGAGGTTTTTTAATGGAATTTCTTTATCTTGACTTGGTTCTTAAGTTCCTTTAGCTCATTTACTCTTAACCAGGTTTAAAACTTATTGTATTTTTTATTATTATCACTGCCAAAGAGAAATGTTTGGTTTTTGAACTGTATATACTTTTTTCTTATTCAATCTGCTAATTGCAGAAAAAGTGTTTTAAAGTAGATTAAAACAGTTTTATATAGGTAAATTAGGAAGCATCCTATTTTTATGTGTAATAGTCCCCCCCCCCCTCCAGTTGCAGGCTATACAATGCATGTAGTGGCCACAACACAGTTAAATGTGAAGTTTCATACTTAAAGAAATAAAATCAGTTAAAGAAGTGTAACAAATATATTTCTTTTTTCAATGAGGAGATCCTAATCCTTTTTATGATATATTCATGCAGTACATATAACTTATTTATTACATGAGCTATTCAATACTGGGTTTATTATAAGTGATCTGTGCATCGAACAAAAGTTAATCTTAATTTATTTAGGCTATATACAATCATGTATATGTTACCTTTGTATTTGACCGTGAAAGTTCTTCAGAGTGTAAGGTAAAAGAAAAAAAAGATGCGTGTGTTATTTATAACATAACAACTCTGGGTGCTTACATCAGCTGTAAATGTTTGCTGTTCTTAGCATTTGACAGGAAGTAGGCATGACGTAGCATGTGCATTTTAGTCTTAAAGAAGCTGAATGTACTTGCTGCCATGCTGTCTACAGTGCTAGCTCTTTATCGCCCCATCTCTTGTGTTCCAGGGTGTGATTGTAGCTTCACTTGAATACCTCCTCTCTTTTAGACACAGTGATCTATATATAGAGTTGAACTCATCTACTGGTTTGTTCCTGTCTGTAGCTGGAAAGGGGAGCAAAAGCAGAGTATCATTGTACACAAACCATCTCCAAATTTTTCCAGCGACATGCTTCTCATACACGAGTAACTGTTCTAGAAAGAAAATGTAAAATTAGTGTATTTTGAGTACCCTAATTCACTTGTCTAGGTTTCTTATTACCAGACATTTTAATAATGAATTATTATGTATTTAGCTACAATTTGGTTATCTCACTTCAACATGTTTGATGTGAAGAAATGCTATTAAAACGTATTTTTTTCTCTGGTTTGTGAAAACAGTAGTTTATATTATTGTCAAAAATACTCAGTTAAATTACTTTCTAGGTATTTAGTTTTTACCTTAACATTATTTAAGTTATTAGAATATTGTATTATTTTTTTAAAAACATTATTGCTTTTACAGACATGTGAGGAGTTTAAAAGAAGGTTACTTCGGAATTCATATTCTCATTATGCTATATCACTATATACATCAGCTTCCTCCCCATTCTCCTGGTTTAGAGTAAATTACGCTTCACTGGACTCTAGGTCAAGGGAACCCAGCTTCCGAGAAGGCTTACTAAAATGGTTTTCATATTAAAAGTATTTGGAATACGTCAGTTATGACAAGCCACTGTATTGAACCACCTTATTAAACATTATCATTTCCCTTCATTCTTTTAGTCATAATGAACTGTATTTTACTATTCTTACAAACTTCTACTTTTCAACAGAGATCAAAGTTGTCTTGCAAGTTTGTGATTATACTCTCATTCATCACCCACACTAACTTTCACTTTTAAACTGACTTCTGTGTTTATCGGAAAAGACGTTGGTGTTAACTTCTGTCTGTAGATGAAATTCCCTTCTGTGAGAAACTTGCAAGGTCAGATTGTTTTTGTTTTGTTTTTCTGAAAAAGTTTGGTCAAAACACTCCAGTATTGTGCTCATAATGGATGGCATAAATGTTGTATAATAGGTATAGAACTATTATATGCCAGCATTTTTTGTTGTCGAGAATCACGGCATATTCATTATAGTGTCAAATTTAGGGATGACTTGGACTGCAGTCATTTATATTAAAAGGACGGTTGTAGAACAATGTTTTAAAATCAGACACTCGGCTGGAAGGACCAATGGGAGCCCGTGACCATCTAATAGTGACAAAAATACTCTAAATATACTGATTTATAATACTTCTATATATTATTTATAGTGTGTCCCGTGTCTGAACTGTATGGTTAAATTAGCTTCTTTGAATGAAAGAGAGAGGTTGAAAGTTGTTGTTTATACTGGTGATTTTGTCATTTTATGAATGTTTAGGAACTACGTTTAGGTAGCTAAAACTGGGCAGAATGCAATAAGTTACAGTAGCTTCCAAAATGTCAATTTTCCTGGGGGTGAAGAGGGGAGGGTGTTGTCCAGACCTACCTCCAATATGGTGTCCAGACAACACACCACTAACTAATATTGAGCTTTTTGAAATTGTATATAAAGACTAAGACTTTTTTTTTGTAGAAATATTTCTCTTTATGCAGAAGTGTTTTTGATTGAGCTGGAAGAGAAAATATTTTATAGATTTGTGATTAAAACCATTATCCTTAGAATTATTGAAGGGGGCCCATAAGGACCATTATTGGCTTTATAAACATTTTTCAAACTGTATATTTGCTAAATTGTTTGTGGGTTATGACATTCTTAATTCTAAAAAACCTGAGTGTTGATTCATTACACCTGTTGTGTGACTAGTAATGTATCAATGAGCTAAGCTTTTATCACTTTGTTCTGATCTCTATGTGACTCTTGCTCTGAACTGTAAGCCATATTGACTGATACAGATCATTAAAAATGTCTTTTATTAAGTGTATGGATCACTAGCCCATGACTTATTGAAGCCAAGGTGTAGACAATTTCATTATGCCATGACAAAGGAGGTTGAGAAACAGTGATTGACTGAAAATCTATAAAACTACATTTGTATTGAACTATACAAGATTCAAATTGCTTCTGTTTTGTTCCCAACTGGGGACCAAAGGGTTAATAGCAAACAAGTGTCACGAATGTAAAGAAACAAAATCAATATTGTAAATTGTTCTAGGCAGTTATTTGCATTGTGTGTCATAACATGTAAGAAACATTAAGTTATTCAGTATGCTGAAATATGTGAATGGTATAAAAAGTTGGTGATTTGGAGTTAATTAATAAGAAGTGTCTAAGCTTCATGATCCCTTCAAACTTCTCGTTGCTGAAATGTTAACTGAAGACTGAAGTGAAGGATGACTATCTATACCTTTTTGATAATAAGGTTCTCTTAAGAGTTCAGTGATAAGTTTTTGGTATTTGGTAACATACAGAAAATAAGTTCAATAAATTGAAAGCTCGGGAAATAAACTTTCATGCTAATGTTGTCTGCGGCTCTAAATGTGTCGTGTATATATAGGATAAAGAAATGTTTTTGTAATAAAACATGGAATACAATTAAAGTGATGTAAAGCTCTAAAGTTCTTGGTAAATTCATTTCTTGTTGGAGTGGTGGAACTTAGGAGAAGAAGGTTAAAAAAAAATTTTTCTTTCAGAATCCAGCTGAGCGATTGGGTTGTCATCCTGAATCAAGATTTATTGATATAACATCACATCCATTTTTCAAGAGCATTGACTGGGAGCTGGTAAGTATACTTTGTTTCTTAGCCCTCCAAGTGTTATAACTGTGATGTTTACGAACCTACGTCTAAGTTGTACTGTAACATGGTATTTGCTAATGAATATTTTTTTTACTGTAAGTTTGTATAAAAGTTTTAAATCCTTCTGTAGCTGGAAGCCAAACAAGTCACTCCACCTTACAAACCAAAGCTAGAGACTGATAGAGACTTGGAGCACTTCGATCCTCAGTTTACGAGTGAACCTGTGCAGCTCACACCTGATGATACGTAAGTTTACATTGTTGTTTAACATCCAGATCTATGTATTATATCTCATAGAGATACTGTATTGGATTCATACTTATGCTGTGTATATAGCTTAATAATTTACCTGGTGATAATTTAATGGAATCTTTTAATTTCTATCTGAAAGTGAATGTGATAGTTTCGGACAACAGAGACAGTAATGGCCCAGTAATAATTTTTGAAAAAAGCATCACTGGAGCTAAATGTTTATCACTAATTTTTATATTTGTTTAAACACAAATATTTATTTTGAATTAATTAAAGAGCAAACTGATCTTATTAAAAAGGTAGCTTGCATATTTCGTGGCCCTTACCAACAGGAAATATATTTAAACTGAGAAGTTAGCCATTGTCGGCTATTAGCTGGTTTAGAACAGTGTAGCTTAGAGTCCTGTGCCAAAGGAACTTGTGGTTTATAATATATTTTGACATGTATATAAGTTATTAATGCTGTGTAACTTTATAAAATGTTAATATCTAATATAAACCCTTCTTTGTACTTCTGAATCATTCAGCATCAAGCTTTCACTGGCAGTGTTGTAATGTTTTATTGAGTGTATATTTGGAAGTATTATGTGCCTTACAATAAATGATAACTCAGCTTCACAGCAGATTGATGGTACAAAGTGCTAGTAAATGAAAGTATGTATTTTAAATAATGTTGAACATGTAGTTTATTGCTTCTGGCACTAACTTATTCATGAACAAACACATTCCTCGTTAAGGATGTTTATATAGGAACAAAGTCATTAGTTATTCTAGTCCATTTACAATAATGTGAAATATTACTTTGATATTTCTGGTTTGTTTAAAAACACTATTTCTTAAAGGTGTAAAATAAATGACATGAATCTAAGAGGCTGAAAATAATTTTTTTTTATTTAATAAAAAATCCAGAAGCAGTTTGTGACATGATTTATATTACTCTTTAATGTTATGAAGGGTTATTGCTTACTACTTGCTGTATGGCTACTCAGTCGTTGTTAGGTGGTCCAGATGGTCACTTATTCTGACGTCTTCAAGTCACTTGCCTCAATTACGACAAGTGATAGAATGTCTAATGGTAAAACTATGTATATTATTATTATTTCAAACACCATCGTTGAGCAAGTTAACTAAATAAAAATGAAATAAGCTTGTTTCAAGAACATAGTTGCACTTAATATTTAATATTACAATATAAATAACTTTGATAATTCCAGCTTGTGTTTTTTCGTTTGTTTGTTTTTTGCTAAATTAAAAATCATGAAACTAGACAGCATTAACCTGTTTTAGGAAGAAAATGATTTTGTTTATTTAAGATGCAATATTTCAAAATTATGGATCAACACAATACAATGGGTCTTCACACATAAAGCAGAATAACATAACAATGAACCCACATACCACAAGTAGGCTATTTGGTATTAACCTGGTGATGTTCATAAATAAACAAGTGTAAAACCTTCTATGACGTACAGGGTGTACCAAAAGGTTTTCAATAAATTTTAAACAAAGGTGTATAAGAATAAGACATTTATATTGTTACGTGGCTATAAAGACTGAGGTTTGATTCTTGAGTTCATGTAAAAGTTTAAGTCTCTATCTGTTAATTATACACTTGTAGTAATTTGTTTTCATCATTTTGTACATAGGTTAACAACTTTAACACCACATGGCAGCTACTGTTTGGATCGTGGCTTAGGATGCCGGTCTTTAAAAAGAGTGTGTTCCAAACAGAAGTGAATTTGTATTGTTCAGTACACTGTTGAACAATGAAGGTTCACGATTAAGCCTATACATTTGGGTTGGTCAATAGCTGCATGAACTTTCACAAGTTATATTCCAAATTTAATTAAATAACTTTATTATCAATGTATGTTAACAAACTTGACACTCAAATAGTTTATAATTTAAAGTTTTAATTTCTTAATTTCAACGGGAAATATTTAAATAAATTTTCAATCTACATTTCTCTGTGTCATGTAATGTGTCTCCTGCCTCAGTTCTCCTTTTTAGATTTTCTTTTTCCCTTATATGGCTTTCAGTGTCTAAATTTGAACTTCCAACCATTTCTACTTGTTAAACCCACCAGTGAAGCTCCTCCTATTTGATCACAGCTTTGAGGGGATCTATCAAAACCAAGTGTCCTTATTTGAAGGATATGTTTATAACCAATAGAAAGAACATTCTCCCCTTAGTACTATATATTACTCAATTTCTTAATTTAAAAGCAAATATTAAAAAAAACACAGATAAACATCGATTTTTGTGTGTCATGTGGTATGTTGAATGCAGCACAGATGACTAGCACAGATAACCCTTGTGTAGCTTT